CCCCAAAACCCCAAAACCCCAAAACCCCAAAACCCCAAAACCCCAAAACCCCAAAAATTGTCTTTACTGGCTAATTTAAAGAGTCTTTATTAGGTACTACTGAGGGATTTTCCAGTACAGAATCACAATGAAAAAGAAAAATATGATAATTGCACTGGCATGGTTCCAGAACTGGGATCTCTCTTTAGTGTAGTTCTCACGATAGTATTTTATCTCCCTTCTGTGTTTTATCTTGGAAGCAGACAGGAAAGTACTCATTTGGAGATTCTCTTTCTTTAGATATTTATATTTTGCTATAATAAAATTTAAGAAAAGATGAAAACAATGAATGGAAGATTAATTGGACAATGGAGTATAGCATAATTATTACTCTGGCCCAAATTCATGTATGTGGAGTAAATTTTGTACAAAAATTTTTTAATCTGTTAAAATCTCAAAAAATCCTTCTCCATCTTCCAAACCCACTATCCAACATCTCAGCCCGATAAACGCTCAAAATGCCTTCAGAACCACTGATTCAACCTACATTTCCTCATCTCATTGACTTCTTTGAGCATCTTAATCTCTTCAGCTTGTTTCTCATTCTGTTCTTTCAGTCTGCTCCGATCTTGCTTCAATTTCTCTTTCCTCTTTTCTAATCTGTTGATTAAGTGAGTTTGGTTTTTGGATGAGTTTTCTGAATCTTTATGGCTATAATTAGGTTTAGATGGGTTTAAAGTACTTTGAAATTGGTTTTGGAGACTTTTTGGAACGATTCTGTGCGTTTTCCGGTATTTTAGCTTCTTGGGAGTGACGTTTGGGTTTTCTCACCTTTTTGGGAACAGGATTGGGTTTTGATTGAGGAGGGGGGAATTTCTGTTTTGTTTCTTCTTGAGCAAGAGAGAATGTGAAATCATTGCCATTAATCTCAGCCGGTTCTGAGGGTTCTATATTCGATACATTCACTGGGAACTCTATGGGTAGTTCTTTGGAAGGCTTTGAAGACATCTCTTTAGAATCGATAAACTGAGGCTCAGGATTTGGAGGTACTTCCTTATCAGGAGTATCTTGGTCTGAAGGATTATGGTCGGCTGGTGGATTAGGTCTTGGGGAAAATGAAGAGCATTGGATTTGGTCATGCTGTTGATTCTTTTCAAGCTTTACCTCCTCTTCCTCCATTGCCTCAAGGCGAGCTTCTAATTCATCTATCTGCTGCTGAAGTTCTTCCTTGAGCTTTAGTTTGGTAGTCTGTTTTTCTTTCCTTTTCAAGTCTTTTAAGCTAAACATCAAGGATGTTTGTAGTTCAGAATTATCTTTCTCAAGAGTTTCTTTCTTTTTGAGTTTATCTTCTAATTTCTCTTTGTAAGCTAATTTCAGAGCCTTTAGCTCTTCTTCTGCTTGGTATAGCATAGTATTTCTAAAGTTTTTAAACTGGCTTACTTTTTCTGCTCTAGTTTTGGATCATTCATAGGATAATTATTAACTTCATCCGCTTTCAGCTGCTGCATTAGGTTAACTAAGCCTGTATTAGGATATGTCTTGCTTCTCTCAATGACCCCATTATCATCAAAATTGATTGTCTGGATATAACCAGCATCCTCATTCGATGCCTTATCATCTTCAGAGTTCTCGGCCCTATATGAGAAACTACTCATCGAAATGCTACAGCTGATATCTTTTGAAGAATGGCAGCCTTCAATGTCAGACTTCATCCTGCTTTTCCTTTCACTCCTTTTATTTCTTATAATCTGTAATCTTGGGAGTCCCGATTTTACTCCTCTTCTCGCTACCATCTTTCTTAAGGATGTTCCTGATCTTTTGAGGTGTCATTCTGGAACTTCCATCTGGGCTTTCACTATAAAATATGAGCATCAAGGATTTTAAGAGAGTTCCAAGGGAAATTTTGGTTTCAGATGAGGTATGGTTAGAGAATTAAGTGACATATCTTTGAGAAGAAACTTACCTCATCTTCAATTTTATATTATTGTATTTCAAAAATAATAATTTGTGTTGGGGTTTTGGGGTTTTGGGGTTTTGGGGTTTTGGGG